GGGGCACAGGGACAGGGCTCAGCCACCCCACAGCCGTGGGGCACAGGGACAGGGCACAGGGACAGGGCTCAGCCACCCCACAGCCCATGGGGCACAGGGCTCAGCCACCCCACGGCCGTGGGGCACAGGGATCAGGGATCAGGGCACACGCACCCCACAGCCCATGGGGCACTGGGACAGGGCACCGGCACCCCACAGCCCATGGGGCACAGGGCACAGGGACAGGGCACAGGCACCCCATGGCGATGGGGCACAGAGATCAGCCTGTGGGGCACAGGGGTCAGGGCACAGCCACCCCACGGCCATGGGGCACGGGATCAGTCTGTGGGGCACAGGACACAGGGCACAGGGCACCCCACAGCCATGGGGCACAGTGCACAGGACACAGGCACAGGCACCCCACGGCTGTGGGGCACAGGGACAGGACACAGGCACAGGGGTCAGGGCACAGGCACCCCATGGCCATGGGGCACAGGGCACAGCCACCCCACGGCCGTGGGGCACAGGGATCAGCTTGTGGGGCACAGGACACAGGCACAGGCACCCCGTGGCCGTGGGGCACAGGGACAGGACACAGGCACAGGCACCCCATGGCCATGGGGCACAGGGATCAGCCTGTGGGGCACAGGGCACAGGCACAGGGCACCCCACGGCCGTGGGGCACAGGACACAGAGCACAGGCACCCCACGGCCGTGGGGCACAGGGATCAGCTTGTGGGGCACAGGACACAGGGCACAGGCACCCCACGGCCATGGGGCACAGGGATCAGCCTGTGGAGCACAGGACACAGGGCACAGCCACCCCACAGCCGTGGGGCACAGGGCACAGGACACAGGGCACAGGCACCCCACGGCCGTGGGCACTGACCTGCTTCAGAGCCTTCTTGCTGTGCTTCTGGGAGGAGGAGAGGCCCTTGCCCGGCACGGACGGCGAGGGGCAGCCGGACTGCGGGGAGCCCGCGGGCGCCAGGCGGGGCGACACTGCGGGACACGGAACACAAATGTCAACAGAAATACAGACACTC